CCTGCAGATAAAACCAGCATCACCTTTCCATTTTCACCAGGGTTTGTGTGACCTGTTCTTTCAGCCCTGCACACACACAGGGCAGAGCTGTGCCCACGGGGACTGGGATGGGGTCTGTGAGCATGGACAGAACAGCAGCACGGTGCCAAAGAAACAAGTCCCAGCAGGAACAGCTGCAGGCAAAGGAGATGTGGGGAGGGAGATGCTGATAGAAATGCTGTTGCAGGGGAGACCTGGGAACCTCCAAGACATGCCTTGTAGGGCAGACTTCTTCCCTGAGCAGCACACCTCTTGTCTCCTCTCCCTCCCAACAAAGCCCTTAGACCATAGGGTCTAGGCCATTAGTGACCTCCTCGTCTAGCAAACTAGAAGAAGAGATGAAGTGCATCTCTCCTGCTATGCGCCCATTTCCCACTGACCAGGGCCCAAGGACGACTGCCCTGCATTTTTGATGTCTGGGAAATGGTGTGCAGAGCTGGGTAAGGGAAAGGTTTCCTGAGTGCCCACCTGTGCCTCTCCCACCCTTGCTGAGATGCTCTTGGAATTGCTGTCAGGCTCTCTGGGAATGTGAGTTTCAGCTGCAGAGTCAGGCACAGACCTTGTGAGTCCTCCTATGCAGAAGTGCCCACAGCAGTGAGGTGTGCCAGCTTTCCTCTAACATGTGAAGCTCTGGGCAATGCAGTCCAGGAGGCTGGACTCTCCTTTAATAAGCTGCCATGGCTAGGACTCCTGGTTATCTCCTTGGGGTGTCCATGCAAGCAACATGCAGCTTCCAGGGGACAGTATGATCCATGTGAATCCTTGGCTAGAAGTGGGGAATAGAGGTTTTGAGAAAAGGATAGTCAATTCATGGTCTGCAGTGGATCCTTCTGCTGTCAGCAGTGTCTCGTTGCTTTTCAGGGTAACATGGGAGTGTAATCACCCTTGATCTTAGAACGTTGCAAGTGCAGGGTGGCTGGGGAGAAGACGGATGCACAAACCAGGTCCACTATCGTTTCCAGCAATCCCTTTGCTGGTAAGATTTACTTTGTTCTCCCTGAAAGCAGCAGAAAACCTTTTCCAACTGCCTTTTGCCATCCCTGTTCCTTAGCACCCAGTGCTGCAGATCAGGGCTGACTCCTCAGCACTCAGCAGGCAGCACCCCTGCTCATCACAGCACACTCAGCCAGAGCAGACAGGAGCTGCAGCCACGCAGCTGAAGGCAGGTCTGCTAGAAAAGGGAAAGGGGGTGGTGTGTAGCAGTGGGGGCGAATCTAGGAGAAAGGGCTTTGACTTTTCTCAGAGAATTGTACCCTAACTTGTCACTGTCTCTTTCTTTCTGGACAATGCTCCATGCCCAGAGGCAGCAGATGTCCAACAGCAGCTCCATCACACAGTTCCTCCTCCTGGCATTTGCAGACACATGGGAGCTGCAGCTCTTGCACTTCTGGCTCTTCCTGGGCATCTACCTGGCTGCCCTCCTGGGCAACGGCCTCATCTGCTGCCCAGGTCTTTTTCTTTCTCTTCTTGATTGTAGGGGAGTATTGTCTCCTCACTGTCATGGCCTATGACCGCTACATTGCCATCTGCAAACCCCTGCAGTATGGGACCCTCCTGGGCAGCAGATCTTGTGTCCACATGGCAGCAGCTGCCTGTGGCACCGGGTTCTTCAATTCTCTTCTGCACAGTGCCAATACATTTTCACTCCCACTCTACAAGGGCAATGCTGTGGACCAGTTCTTCTGTGAAATCCCTCAGATCCTCAAGCTCTCCTGCTCAGACTCAGACTACCTTAGGGAAGTTAGGCTTGTCCTGGTTAGTGCCTGTATAGCAGTTGGTTGTTTTGTGTTCATTGTGGTGTCCTACGTCCAGATCTTCAGGGCCGTGCTGAGGATCCCCTCTGAGCAGGGACGGCACAAAGCCTTTTTCACGTGCCTCCCTCACCTGACTGTGGTCTCCTTGTATGTCAGCACTGGTATGTTCACCTACCTGAAGCCCCCCTCCAGTTCCTCCTCATCCCTGGATTTGGTGTTGTCATTTCTGTACTCGGTGCTGCCTCCAGCTGTGAACCCCCTCATCTACAGCATGAGGAACCAGGATCTCAGGGTCATACTGAAGAAGCTGATTTGGCCAGTTCCCCCTCTGCAGAAATAAGCTGCCTGTGTCTCTTCAGAAGAGATTTTTTAATTAATCTCTGACACATCCTATACATGGAGCATTTTGTCTGTGGCAATACTGTTAGTCCAGGAGTGTCTGCATCCACTCAGCTTCCCCAGAGGCCCAACCCACATTGTCTCACCTAGAGGACTTTGTACGTTGCTCTGGCAGGACAGTACAGCTGGCCTCATGTATTATATATCTGTAATAAAAGAGTATTTTCTCAGTACCAATATTTTAATCCTGGGCTCTTCTTCCAAAGCTGAGGTCAGGATATCTCACGGGTGGGTGTCAAGAGGATGGGGCCAGACTCTTTTCAGTGGTGCTCAGTGACAGGACAAGGGGCAATGGACACAAACTGAAGCAGAGGAAGTTCCAGCTGAACATGAGGAAGAACTTGTTCACTCTGAGAGTGACAGAACACTGGAACAGGCTGCCCAGGGAGGCCGTGGAGTCTCATTCTCTGGAGATATTCAAGACCCGCCTGGACAAGGTCCTATGCAGTCTGCTGTAGGCGACCCTGCTTGGGCAGGAGGGTTGGACTAAATGACCCACAGAGGTCCCTTCCAACCCCGACCATTTTGTGATTGTGTGATTGTGTGATTGTGTGATTCTGTGATTGTGTGAACAGGCTGAAGTAATCGCCCCTCCGACCATGTTGAACTTTGCTTCTCCGTGTGTTCAGGGCTGTAGGGCATTCGGCGATGTGTTAGTGGATGAGCCTGTGCAGATCCTTCACATGTGGGTGCCCATTGCCAATGGACCTGA